TAAAAAAATGAAAAAAAGAATACAAAGGGTAATATAGTCTTTTCATCTTGGGGAGGGACAAATATAGTCTTTTCATGTCTGTGAGGGATGAAAAACGCAACCAAGTAAAACAATGGGGACGGTCTGAATGCAAAACAAAAGTTAGAGACCAAACACGCAAATTTAACCAAACCACAGGGACGATTTCAGTAATTTGTTCTTGTTCTTATAACTTTACATGAAATTAGTTACAAAAAATTGAAATATAAGAAACAATATAATGACAAGTTTTTTTAGGTGCTTCTTTGTGGTATGAAAGATATGTCATGGTTTTGAGTTTTGAGTGCTTCACCATTTAGATTTAGATATTTGGTAATGTATGAGTGATGTCTTGTATGAGTAATGTCTTGAATGAAAATGGTTCGGCAGATCTAATGCAATTGCTCAACAACTGAAAGTAGGCTATTGTAATGATTAAATACATAGAAGTACATTGTTATTTCTATACATCTACACATCTATCTATTCTACTAAAGGATGAATTAAGTTTGGAATTTCCTTTTTATTTTTTTGGATCCCTACTTTGTTGGTACTGGTCCTTGAAAACACACGCAATCACACACACGCAATGTAGATTTTGAGTTTTACTACCTGAACATTTTTCATTGATCTCACAACTTACATTAAATAAGAAACAAAAAAAAAACTTAATCCTAAAGAAAAGGTAGCTAACCTACTATTGCTACGTGAACTCCCTAAAAGCTAGGAAAAACAATCCCATCACTTGTGACCTAGTAAACTCTAATAAAACTTGTGCATAAAGAAATATAGGACCGATATTATATGACCAATTCAAGCTCTGACCCATTGAACCCTATCCGCAACTGCGACCCATGATCCGGGTGATCAACAAACCGATTAACCCAACAATCACCCCCTTAATCAGTTGTTCACCATTTGTTCACAGCAGCCTTCAATCACCCTCTTTTCATCTTGATTCAAGACCTTTCCCGGACACCTGACTTTCACATCGGTCACGTCCAAAGTCTTCACCCAATCCCGACTTTTCCCGGACACCCAACCTTCACCTCGGTCATGTACAAAGTCCTTCATACCCGACTGTTGTTTGTCACCACACAGAATCCGTTTTCACCTAACACTTCTGTGAAACGAGAGCCTTCTTCCACCGATCAAGAAAACAAAGCAACCCGCTTTTCCCGTCTTCTTTCACCTGCAAAACGAAACAAACCCAAAGCCACCTGCTTTTGACAGATCTTTTCTTTTCGTTTTCTCACGCAACGTCGGTAACTCTCTCCATTTTCTGGTGACATACCCACAACCTACCGCTGGAAAAACCACCATTCTTGCCTTCACAGCCAAGAGCACAACCATTGGATTCTACACCAGTGAAAATCACGAGCAAAAACACCTCGAAGCACCCTCACGATCGCCTTCATCTCTGTTAACACCCATTGCATGCTATACCAAGAAGCACAATGACCCTCTGTGACCTACTTCACCATCATCGCATCTTGTTTCAACCGGCAAATCATCACAATAAACTGCAGCCACCTGCTGCACTCGATGACCAGTTTTCTGCCATCTATATAAACTGGAACCTCCAGTCGAGAAACCGCTGCCAAACAACCCCCCCCCCCCCTTCCGCTGCGATGACAACCTTGCACCCGAAGGCTCCTCCCCTTCGAAAGTTGACTCTCAAATTAAACAGTCGTTTACCTCTTCACGAGCCCTAGGCTCTGATACCAATTGTTGGTACATGTCCTTGAAAACACACACAATCACACACACGTAATGTAAATTTTGAGTTTTACTACCTGAACATTTTTCATTGATCTCACAACTTACATTAAATAAGAAACAAAAAAACTTAATCCTAGAGAAAAGGTAGTTAACCTACTATTGCTACGTGAACTCCCTAAAAGCTAGGAAAAACAAGCCCATCACTTGTGACCTAGTAAACTCTAATAAAACTTGTGCATAAAGAAATATAGGGCCGATATTATATGACCAATTCAAGCTCTGACCCGTTGAACCCTATCCGCAACTTCGACCCATGACTTGGGTGATCAACAAACCGATTAACGCAACAATTTTGTCCCAAAGTGTATGTCAACTTTTGTTACTACTATTATTGTTACCGGTGTGTCATGTTGACAAAATTGTGTTTTTGGCCCTTTTCATATTTGTTGGCATGATGCTTAGTTATAGGTTTTCAGTTTTCTATGCACTTGGTGTAGTGTAGACTTGATGTGGCTGGTTAGATGACTAGGTTTTTTCATGGTTATCTTATTATCATATAAAGCCTACATCTTTGTTGGAAAGTAGAAGTTGCTTCAAATTGGTGAAAACTACTTATAAGGCCCTTGTGTTGATTCTTTATATAAACTAGAAGGAGGACCTATGCTTCACATGGGTCAGGAGTAGGGCTGTTCACTATTCGGATAAAACCGAATTATCCAATTGGACAATTTGGATTGGACTATTTGGTTCGGATATTCGGATTTTTGGATTGGTTTTCAACAAAACCGAATTATTATTTTGGATTTCAGATTGGTTTTGGTTTATAAAATAAGAACCGAATAGTCCAAAAAAACCGAATAAACATTTATTATTTATCTATTTATAATATATATCTATAATTATTTATTAATTTTGTAATTTATTTTTTCAAATAGGTTCAAAACGTTTCACCCGATAAAAAAAACATTAATATGCATTTTCTCTCGAAAGTTTTGTATCTATAAAATATTTAACTATAATATATATCTTCTTATTAGTTGTTTATAAATTTCAAATCACAACTAAATTATTTGTTTTTGCTTCTTGTGTAAAGTTGGGTAATATTATAATTATATGTCGTTTTAAAATGATTCGATTTTTGAAAACCGAATTATAAAAACCGATCCAACCGAATTGTATTTGGATTGGATCGGATCGGATTTGAATTTAGTTTGGACAATTCGGATCCATGTTTTGAAAACCGAAATCAATTTGGATTTACTTGTTTGGATCGGATCAAACCGATCCATCCAAACGAACACCCCTAGTCAGGAGTTCTCTTTTTTTATGTTGTGGTTAATTATCAATTAAGACGTATAGAGGAATCAGTACTTGCTTATATTATATTGGAAGTCGATACATTACATAACTAAAAGACATTGTTAACATGAATAACACATGAAGTAACCTCTTGTAGTTGGCCTTATCCATTGGATTACCAAATAAGACATTTTTTTTTCTAAATTTCCCAAATTATGTCTATGTTGACGGAGATATGTAACTTGCATATCCACTAATTCTAACCTGTACCAAAACAAAATAAATACATAAAAAGGTGTTAAAACAGATGAATAACAACATAAAAAAACTCATAGATACTTAAACTTTAAAAATATACAAGGTTGGGGCAATAAATCATCACTTTCAAAATACTGAATTTGCATGGTCTTTGTTAATGTTTTGAAGATTAAAAAGGATGAAACACTTGTATAAAGATTAAAAGAATGCTCATTTCCATCACATGATACACCATTTAACAGCAATGTACTTTCATCTAACAAAATCAAACCTGAAGTTGAGATATGACAACCCATCTCCAAATGAATCCCTTCTACCCAGGTTATTAACTGAGATTGAAAACCTATTTTTGGCTTAAAATGAAGGTAGCATGTTGTTTTTCCCTAAATATGCAAGTGTGATGCCTTTTTGGCTTAATTCCTAAAAATTTGAACAACGAATCTAAACAAAATTAAAATTAACCACCAATGGTTTTAATATTAAAAAAAGCATCTTTCCAATTGCAAAACAAATTCTTTATACTATGGATGACTGTGAGTCTGTAACCGCCCAAAACATCTCACCCGTTCAAACTCCCGTAACTTTCAATCTCAGCCGCAATAACTCAAAAATTACAGTTAATCGCAATAACTTTCAATCTCAGCCGACGACTGCCTACCTCCCACGTTCTACATCCCACAAATCACTTGCAACTCTCCTTCTTCTCCCCACGTTCTCAATTGTAGTCACTATATAAGAGGTCGATTTCAATGTAATCGATCATTCCATCAATCAATTACTTCAAACCTTTGTATCGTCTCATCAATGATGGAACACAAACCCACTAAAAACGCTTTTTCCTAGATTAGTACAAGGACGTTCTCACTCAATTGGCCTTATATAAGAAGGTGTTTGGGATTATGTTTTTAGCTTTAAAGTCCTTTTTCTAAAAGAACTTTTGTAAAAGGTATTTTTCCAAAAGTAGTGGTTTAAAATGTGTTCGGATGGACAAAAGATAAAAGTTGGTTTTAGAAGGTTAAAAAGTCACAAAAGTCACGATTTCGTGACTTTTAGGGGGTGTTTGGTTTATCTTTTTGAGATGCAAGTCCTTTTTGGAAAAGTTACAAAAAGTCAGGTTTTCCTTATCTTTTTGAGAGGCAAAAGTCATTTTTAGAAAAGTTACAAAAAGTCAGGTTTTCCTGACTTTTCCAAAAAATCAGGTTTTCTTATATCCAAAATCCACAAGTAGTTTTTAAAATGTTTTTACCAAACATCTTTTACATTTTATCTTTTTCTAAAAGGACTTTTGGCCTCTCAAAAGATAAGTCAAACACAAATCCAATTTTTTTTCACTTGGCCAAAAATTGTTTTAAAAAGAACTTTTCACTTCCCAAACATCTATTAAACTTTTTAAACATCTTTATAACTTTTTTGACTTTATGAAAAAATGAAAAGTTCAAAAATCAAATCTACCCTAACAAAAGAAAACAAATTTTGCCACATGTAATTTTTTGGTATTTTTCAATTAAATTAATTCCATGTGTAATTTTCTGGTTTTTTTTTTATTTATAAAAAAAATTATAATTAATGCATTAAAAATATTGATTGATTCATTCTATTATTATTTGATACCGTTTCCTTATAAAACGCTTACTATTATAACATATAGACATTTTTTATAAGTTTTTCCTAAAATCACGCCTATCCATTCAATTATCATTTTGTATCTGTGAAACATGTACTATCATACAATGCAAATATTATACTGTCATCATTCACTCGGACACATATCTTTGTTGACAACATCGTCTCTCGCTATCTCTCCTCACGTCGACTCTCCTCTACTCGCCGTCACTCCCCTGTAAAGACACCGGCCAGAGACATTCGATAGCTACATCTCCGTCGCACCCAAACCAGGTTCCATTTTTCTTCCTTATTTTCTGCTTTCTTTCTTCTTTTTCTGATTTCTTTGAAATCACCGATTGATGTTGTTGGTAGACTTCTTTTTTATCGAAAAGGTTTTCTTTTGCTGTGATTTCCTTCTTCACATACGATATTTCTATAGTATGTTTTTTTTAATATCAATCGCCAAGTTCAAGTTCTTCCTTGGAATTCTGTTAGGTGATTTCTTACCTTCATTGATAATTGATTTGCTATTGATTCAGTAATTGTGTTTGATGTTCAAAGGTATGAAATCTGATGCGTATTGTGTTTTTTTTAAATGGAATGTGTTTGCAGGCAAGCTGTTTGATTAAATGCCTGAGAGAGATAGTACTTTCTTATGCATGTTTTCACTTATCAATTCTAATATATATGTTTTAATGTTTAACTTTTGAATTTTAGACATCCATATTTAACTTTTATTTTTTGAAAAGAAACCGCATTTAAAAACCTAATTATGTAACAATGAAGACTTGAATACTACGCAAACTCTTAACTTTTTCAAGTTGATACCCTCTATTTCATATTCCTAAAAACAAATAAGAGCACCATGTTACTGAAAACTGCATAATTTCTTAAAACATGCAAATAGCCCTTCAAGTCCCACCTCTTTTTGAAGCTTAAAAAGATGTCGAACAAAGTGCTACATAAGCCTCTCCTTAACACTGTTTATCCACACCTGATCAAAAAGCTATTTTGCATAAAAATTAAAATGTTTGTTAAATTAAATATAGTTTTAGGTTGCCGTTACCGGTAAAATAGTTATATACCTTAAATGACTTTAGGCCATAAATATCCAAAATGCTTATAGACATTATGTTCTTATTTTGAAACATAATTTTTCTAGAGGCCATTTTGAAAAAACTTTAGTAGAGAGGTGGATATTTTGTACTACCATTGATTTGTTTTTTAAACCATCATATTTCCATTTGGTAAAAGAAAATAAATTTTGCCACATGTCACATTCTTAGGCCCTTGCCACATGTAATTTTTTGGTATTTTTCAATTAAATTAATTCCATGTGTAATTTTCTGGTTTCCTTTAATTTAGCTGCTCATGGAGTAATATGAAGAACATAGCATTTTAGTTAATAAAATATTAATTTTTCACAATTATTCCATGAGAAAGTTTATTGTTTGATGTTTGATTGATCTGCCCCTTATTAAAATTTTGATTTTATCAAATATATTATAAATCTATGATGTTATATTCATGTTTTTTTATTCATTTTCTTTTTTTATTAATGTTAAATGTCCACAAAATGTTTAATTGTTTGCAGCTTCTACACAAGGTTGGCCTATTTTTAGCCCTTTCTTCGATTATACAGGTGGGTATTTTATACTTTCATTGATTTGTTTTTTAAAACATCATATTTTCAGTTGTTTCCTTTAATTTAGTTATTTCTTCCATTCACGTTTGAAATTCTTTGAAAAAAATATTTTATTTTGCAATATAACTATAAAAAAATCAATGTACTTAAAAAGTACATTGCTATACTAGATATGTGTGATCAAACTTGGTTGTTATTTCCTACTTTAATTCAAATTTGAAATTACCATTCTATTTTTGAGTTCAATCCAAAATACCCACCTGTTTACATAGCTCAGCCCATCATGATTATTTTTATTCAGTTTCCTTTTTTATTAACGTGAAATGTCTACAGACTGAAAATTGTTTCCGGCTTCTACACAAGCTCGGATTAGGCTTCTACACTCACCTTAAATCCAAACTTTCTATACTTGTGTTCTAACTATATGTTAGTGTATAATTGTGTACTTGTGTTCTAACTATATGTTAGTGTATAATTGTGTATGTCATATGTATTTCTCTTTTCTTCTGTTATGTGTATGAATGGTCTGCAACCAAAACAACACCCATCATTGATAAGAATTTTCTAATCATTTATATGTAATTGATTCTGTTTATGCTATATTCAATGAGCATACGGGCATCAACATCATCATTACAAGCCAAATAATATTCATTTTTCTTAAAACTAACAAGTTATAAAAAAATTAACAATCTTATTTCTACTAACACTTGTTGCATACTATTTTAAAATTTTCAAACATAATATATGAAACAAATACACGGTAAATATGTAGATTCTATCCTTCCAATCGGTGAGAAACGTGGGATTTTATTTATTACTATCGGATTTTTTACTTAAGATTGTCGGATGTCTTCAAATTATGGGTTAACCGAACAATCGAATATCATATTTTATCTGTATGGGTTATCGCCCATGCTAATTCTAATTAGAGAAAACTATAAACTACTTATATCAAATAAGCAGTGTTGTATATATATGCAGAGAATAAGTTTCTTAAACCAAAAAACGGCAATGTACTTACATAAATAATTTTTTTAATAAACCCGTGTAAGACACGGGTCTCACACCTAGTTTTTAATAATCCCAAACACCCTCTAATTATTCACGGTTTCAATTGCTTGCAACGTTTCATCACTCATGGAGCATAAATCACCCTAAAATTTGCTTGCAATTGAAGACAATCATCCTATGATCACCACCGCAGGTACATTTTCATCTTCTGCCCAACCTTTGTAATTTTATAATTATATGAAGTTCTACTTTGTGTATTGTGTGCTTGGATTTCTGCTCCTTCGGTCACCATAGATGCAAATCTAAGCTCTCTCTCTCTCTCTCTCAACCATCATGTTTGGAGCTCAATAAGGTACAATCTTTCTTCAAATCTCACAGGAAGGATTTAGGGTTCAAGCCACTGGTTTATCTAACAATCTTACTATTGGGAATACCTTCTAGGGCATGAACGCATTCAAGATTCACAATTTTGGAGTTGGTTCATCTATTTGGAGCGTCTTTGAAAGGAACATGTTCTTACAGGTAATAATCTAATTTCTAATTTGATTTGATTTTTTGTTAAAATCACTGGTCTTGAAGTCAAAGACATTGTAACTCTATCTGATAGCCATACTCTGCTTGGTTACATTGCCCTTTTGATTTGAGACCTGTAATCTTTCTAATGCAACATTATATGATGTGAAGAGGGAGCTACTCACAAGGAACATCTGGTTTGAAGGACCATGGTCTTTCAACAATCTGGATTATCAAATAGCTTATTTAATTACTTTTGATGGTGCAAGTCCAGGGGTAAAATTGACTTTTCGTGCTTCTACACTCCCATTTTCATGTCAGTTTAAACAAATAAAAATCCAATCTTCCATTTCCAGGTCCATTTGATGATGCAGTTACTTACAAGGTCAAAAAATGATGGAATTTTATGTCCCATCCTCAGTACCCTCCTTACTCTGCTTCTATCGCCCTTCATTGTGGCACTCTTGTATGTACATATATTTTATTTCAAAATAGACATGTTTAATATGTAAAAAGAAGAGTAAAATAAGTAAATAACTCTTACTGATTTTTCAGGTTCATTATTATCTTGATGAAGCAATAGGGTGGGGACTGGAGATGTGGTAAAACTCAAGAAACAATTAGAAGCTGTCCCACATAAGGGTATTACTATTCAAGCGTTGGCAACCCAATTGGGCAGGTAAAATTGCATTTTATTTACCATTTTTAGTAAAATGGTAAAATTATATAACAACTACTTCATGTGCGATTTATTCTCTATTAGTCTTTTTTGTTGCAACATACCATATTCCTGCTACTGTCAATTATGGACATTATGGGATTATGAAAAGGATGTTATTTCAGGTTTTATGAAGGTAATGCTTACCCTGTTAAAAATGTTCCAGGTAACACCTTATTACCTTATTAACCTATTAAAAATGGTGGTAGATGTAATGGTGTGCCTGGAATTGCTTGTAATTGTGTTACCTTATTACCCTCTTAAGAAACTTGATTATTTGACCATGTAAAAATTTCGTTACAATGCCAAACATGACTAAAAATGGTGATCATGTTAAAATATTCATTTCTATATAATAAAATTAGATGATGTATATGTGGTTGCAGATGTGCTAGATTCTCTTAAGTTTTCACATTTTTATGGCTCTAATACCGTAAAATTCCTAATCAACATTTGGAAGAACCACTATCGGCCATTGTTTCAAGAGAGAATGCTGATGTTTATTTTTAATGAATATGTTCACTTGTAGGATAAAATGGGCAAGAGCAACAAGAAACCTCATACTTGAAAAATCAGAAAGAGGTCTTTAACTTTCCTTCCATATATATGCAACTTTCTGGTCTTTTGGTTTATTAATGGATTTTTTTTTAGTCTTTTATGTAGAATAAAATCGGATGGAAGTTGTGGATTTGTTTCATCAGGGGAGATGGGTGTTGGTTGGAAGAATTTTAATGGAAGCTATAAGGACACCAATAAGGTAGAAGCATATTTATATATATGGTTTTGGTAAATGAGTAAATCTGATTGAAACTTTGTGATGCAGTCATGTGTTGAAGCTTGGGAAAAATGTTGAAGAATTGAAACTCAAGTCGGCGAGTGTTATAATGTTTGTGTTTGCAAATAGTTTTTAATAAAATATATAAACATACTTAATTTGTCTTGAACCAGGCAAACATGAGGAAATCAACATACATGGTGAAAAAGATGATAGAGTTTGAATTTTTATTTCACCTTTTCCAGTTAAGTCATGGATTCGTAAAGTGGGTGAGATAAAGTGTTATATTTCCATTAACAGACTTTTTCTATGGGTGGCTTTTACATCTTGGAGATTTGCAGTTTGTTTAGGATCTAACAGAAAAGGGTAAGTTCTTGCATAAACTATGATTATAAAGAGTTCACTGAAAAGGGTGTCAAAGATTTTTATCCGGAAGGAAAGCTAAAAAGATTGATTCTGCGATGGAATCGGAAAGGAAAACCTATGATTAATAAATCATTGCCAATTAACTTCATTCCATTCATGGGGGTATTTTCGTCATCGTCAGTTAACATCATTCCATTCATTCTTTTGTTCCTACTCACTAAACAACATTCATTAATAACGCATTCCATTGCACCATTAATTGCATTCCCTCTTCCATTCCGTTCGTTTTTCATTTCATTTCATCCAACCAAACATATCATGTATGTTTGGTTGAATGTAATGGAATGGAATGAGTATTTACATTATTTTATCAGGTTTAGAAATGGAGTGAAATGTAATATGTTTTTTAAGTGATAAATGCAATGTATAATTCTATCATTGCTTTATACATGATAACTATATGTAATGTAATTTATATTTAGTTAGTTATTTACAAAACACATTATTATATTTAATTTTATTACTAAAATTATATATTTTTTGTTGGATCTAATATATACACAAAGTAATTTTTACATTTTCATTAAGATGGTTTTTATATTTAGATAAAAAAAAATTTTAATACTTAGATTTGTCATTGAATAATTGGATCTCAAAGAATTTTAGGGCTGAAAATAATTTAATGTTGGTACTTTTGTATAAAAAAAACTGATAATAGTCTCAACTCTCAAAAGTGGAAGATTTTATGCTGAGAAGAAGATGGCGTATTGGTTGGGAGGTAGCTCAATATTGTCTTTTTTCTATTAATTATGAGATGCATGATTTAAAAGTAAAAGAAGGGTATGGTTAATGGGTTTGTTTTATTAATAAAAGCTATAGATTCTTGCATTGTAATAGAGGCGGATGTGAAGGAATAAATAATGGGTATTTTTAGAGTAATGTTTATGGTTGGTCAAATGTGCCAGAGGAGAGAAGCAACAATGACTTTTAATGGGTATGGATCATTATGGCTTTTTGAGCTGCAGTTTTTTTGGACTACTATTTTTTATGGTCTTTTGGGAATGGATAGGATTAGACATTAGTTGGGGATTATGTAATGATCGTAGATTCGGGTTAGTCAATCTAGAGACAATAAGCGTCAAAAATAACTTTTTTTGATGGAAGATTATTTTGAATAAATAATGTTGACCAAGTTATAGTATATGTCACAAGGGTTCCATACATATAAAGAACGCTGAAATCCGAGTTATAACGAAAAAGTTATGACCCGTCGAAGTTTTACGGCAAAACCGGCACGACACCGGGAATCGTAAAAAGTGAATTTATGATAAAATACTTTTTAGCCTTATCGATCTATACAAAAGTCATAGTATATGTTAAACCAAGAGTGTGCATAAAAATAACGTCCAAATCTGACTTCGTACGAGGAAGTTGTAATTTTTCTAAGATTTAGCATAACAATGCACAACCTGAAATTCAAATTTTAGATCGATCGATTTTTGGTCAGCTCAACCTAAATAAGAATTGAAGATCTCATTAATAAGAGCTCAACGATAAAAAGACAGACGAAAACGGAGTCTGTATGTAGAAGTTATGAATTTTACACGGTCATTTAACAGTCTTCTCATACTGTTAAATTTAAAATCGGTCGAGAATTAGCTGACGGAGTCAAAAGGAGAGTTGTAGATCTTGTCAATACCTACGCGTGGATATAAAGAACGTCGAAAACGGAGCTCATATTTTCTGACCGTGAAAATGAGGATGTCACATATTATTATTGCAAGAGGATTAAAGAGTTGTACTATTTGCATCTTCAATTTATATGTGAACATGAAAACAGAGAAAGAGAATGGGAAAAGGTGGGCTTTGCTAGGTGATGTAGAAGCGGTCCTGTTTGCTTCTTTATAAATTGGGAGTATTGGTTTTAGGGGAAAAAAAGTGGAAGATTGACATTTGCAACTGGTAATTAGGAAACAATATAAATTAGTTCTATAGCAATTATTCTATTTCAGTGGCATTCTCATAGTTTTCTTCTGTGGAATTGTGATGTCTCATTACACTTTGCATAATGTCACAGAGAAATCCCGAGTAACTACCAAGTAAGTTCATTTAACATCTTTTTTAATATTAGCCTTTTGATGAAAAACTCAAAAAGTTAGTTTGTATCTACTTACCCACCCTTTTTTCCAAAATTGTCATTGATTTATTTATCTTTCTTTATGTTGGAATGAATGCTTTAGACATTGAAAAGTGGAAGTTTGTAAAAGACAAGTATAATTTTAAGCCTCATTCGTGCAAAAGACGTAAATACCCTCATCATGTATGATTTTGGTTTGATCACCATTCTTATGGTTGTTTATACTTTTTTTTATCCCTGGGACTTATGTTGAAGTGAATGCAATTTTATTGGGATTGGTTTTAGTTGGAAGAGCAGCCTTTGTTTCCCCTGATCATTTTTATCCAATTTAACGAAGAAGGCATGACACGAGAAAATATATTTTAGGCAGCAAGTATATTCTTACTCTATTCTGGTTTCATGATTTGGCTGGTTTTTGTGAATTTTAATCCTTTTTACTAGTTTATTTCTAATTTTCTTTCTAATTTTGGTGTTTTTATGGTTTTGATATGGTGGTTTGGTCTTATCGGAGGTGATGTGTCCATATCCCTTGCTTATAATCAAATTAGATTAAAGGTAGGGTTTTATAATTACAATCACTCATCCTAAATTTTCAACCATGTGTCAACAGTTAAATTTAATATAAGTTTTATAATCTTATATCCACAATGTTCATTTTTAGTTAATTGGTCGTTTTTATTTGAACTTTTTATAAATTATCTACAAGATGCACTAGGGTTTTTTTTTCTACATTTGATAGAACAAGTTGAGCGAATTGATACTGGTAACCCTAATTTGGATCCTTCTAAAAGCTTCAAATTTGGTATTAAAGAGCAATTACAATGTCCTTGTGGAAAAGGTTCTTACAATAAAAGGCATGACTACATTATTTCCTTGAATATTCCACTTCATAAAGCTACTAACAAAATTGAGTTCTTTTCTTTTTTTACTAAAATTATACCGACAAAACTGCAAATTTGGTCCCTGTGGTATGCATTTTTTTGGGGTTTTAGTCCAAACCTCGACTTTTTTGGATTAGTGGTCCTTTTGAACTAGTTTCGTTGCGTTTTTGGACCCTCTGAATAGTGAAATGACTGTAATACCCTTGGGGTATTTATTTTCCATTTTTCTTTCATTTCTTATTTAAATCTAGTATTAATTTATTTATTTTAATAATTAAAAAAATAAAAAGGGGCACTCTCTCTCTCTCTCTCTCTCTCTCTCTCTCTCTCTCACGAACAAGAGGAGCATAGTTTCTACCCCAAAATCCATTGTTATACATCGTCTTTTCTCTGCATCTTTACGCCTCAATTTGGATTTGTTTTTCTTTTTGAAAATCGATTCAAATGGGTTCACATTCTTGTGTAGGATCAATTTTTATAATTTGGAAATCAATTAACAGGTAATGTGGAAAGCTATATGAAGATGAAGAGCCGATTTTCCGGGTTTGCTCTTCAAGAACAATCAAAATTTTGGGTTTGGTTCTGGAACTAAAAATCAATGTCTGAATCTAAAAAAAGATTATGGGTCTTCAAGATCAACCGATTTCTGAAAATTTGATTTCGTATGTGTGTTTTCATACCATTTATAGGTTTAGGGTTAATGGAATCAAAGAAATAAATGATGTCATTGAATAAAAGCGAAGCTGAATAATCCCATAACTCGATTGGGTCACGAGAATTAGAGTTAAAATCGAAGGTGAATCGAGAACACGATATCATGAGAGGCTCATATTTGCAAGTTTGGAATCGAAACCTGAGAAAGGGGATCGAACACGCCATGGCTGCATTTTTTGGTGTGTGTGTATATATGTTGGATCAACAAGTCTGTATTTCTGTGTATGTTGAAGAAGATGAACGCAGAAAAGTATTATGGTGCCTGAGGTATGAAGATGGGGATGTGGGTTTTGATAGATTTTTTTCCGGATTCATTTTGTGTTCTTCCATTTGTGTTCATAATCACCTTCAACCTCCACCTTTATAAACCCAAGAACTATGCGCCCAAATGATTCAGCAACCTACAATCTTGCTTTGCTCCCTTCTGGTATCGGAAGTAGGCAAGAGAGAGAGAGAGAGAGAGAGAGAGAGAGGTGGGTCCTCTCAATTTTTAATTATTAAAATGAATAAATAATTATTAAACATTTAAAAACTGATTTTAAAAATAGAAAATAAATACCCCAAGGGTATTTAAGTCATTTCAGTTTACTGGGGAACCAAATTCGCAACAAAACTAGCTCAAAAGGACCACTAATCCAAAAAAGTCGGAGTTTGGACTAAAACCCCAAAAAAATGCATACCACAGGGACCATTTTTGCAATTTTGTCAATTATACCATTATACTTTTTTTTCAGTCAATCCATAAATTTTTCAAACATTTTTCCAAACCAACCATTTTGACATTATATAATAGATCAATGACCAGTGAAACATGATATAACAAAATTACTGGTGAAACATGAATATATGATATGACATTTAAAAATTGTTAATTTGCAAAATCGGTAAAAATAAATTTTCAAAATTCATATATAATTCCTTTTATTTGTTATTAATTAAAATTTTAGAGGAACTAGAAGAGCTTCAAAAATTGAAGGTGCAAAAAGACGTAAAAGGGGAGAAACTGTAAGTCTGATAATTTGGATTCTTTCATATTATTTTTTTAAAAATATATTTATTTTCAGCGTTGTACTTTCAACCTTTTTTCTCATTAAGGCATTGTAGTTTTTCAGGTCTTCAGAAGAAATTATGCGACGAAGGGTGCCATTAAGTGATTGCTTGGATAGTTTTTCTTCACCAGAAGATGTTTAAGGTTTCTTTAGTACTGCTATATTCCTTTATTTGTTATGATTTTTATTTTCCGTTTATTTTTACAATTAGGACACTTGTGTTATTGAAGTTGATTCTTCTGAAAAATCATATATCGGATCCTCAATAACACCAATGAAGCGCCGACTTCCACGATTGTGTGAGGGGTCTTCTGAAGATGATATCGTTAGTTAAATTCAAATTAGTTTTAAAGTGTTTTCTGACATTGTTTTGTAGCTTGTATTTCTTTTCCAGTTTTTCAGTTTTCATATCATCGTAGTCCTCAATTTTTTTATAGGTTATTTGAAAGTATAAACATGATTAAACATTTTATAAGAGTTTTTAGACATATTTATGGTTCAAGTATTTCAAATGTATGAA